TTTGATGATGTGGACACATCCCCAGGAACTGTTTTAAGTCACCACCTAATTATATGCAATATACACATCAGTCATGGTCACAGCAAGTCTAAGCTGGATCTGAAAGAATGACTTAGAGATGCAAGGTTCTTTAAATCACATTGCCAATCCCTGAATCATCACCAAGTTAATTTTTTTTCAGAGTGCTCTACATTCTCCTATGAAAAACCTTAGTAAGAACAAGAATGAAACTTTAGAAAAAGATATGTTTATTGTGCAAGGTCTTGTCAAGACAAGTTCCAGAATTTGAATGGTTTCGGGTGGGGAAAAGAGAGACCATAAGGCAAATAGTCTGTGTATTATCACAGCTGCTGAAATTAATGTTTTGTCTGAACATACAAAAAAAAGTTAATGAAAATGTATTGTATTTTTAATTGTTTTTAATTAGTCTGTTTAATACATGTTTATGTTTGGGTAAAATGAATGGGTAAAATGAAGTTATGGCTCAGTCTTGAAAAGCACTGAGTGCATTTTGGGAAGTGCTGGACCCCTTCAGATGCCATTGAAGCGTATGGGATTTCTGTCTTGAGTAAGAAGTTTGCAGGACTGGGCCTCGCATTAGTCAACATCGTTACATGAAACTGGAAGTACCAGAAATCTCACAAGAGAACCTTTTCTCTTTTTGATATGCCTAGTCTGATTTCTAGACCAGAAAGGCATAGAGCACTATCTCGACTTTTGGACATTTATCCATAATGGATCTATGAATCTTTTGAGATTTACTTTTTACTATACTTTAACCACCAACTATTATTCAGAGTGACTCCAAACCATAAAACTTATAAAGCTTGAAATGTTTGCATGAAGCATAAAAAAAGCTGGAGTATATGGCCTGTGGGAGAGTAAGTACTAGGGTTAATTTATAACTTAAGCAAATGAATCTATAAAAAGAAGAAAAGCTCTATAAGAAATAGGTTAACAGATGACAACAAAAAAAAAGAAAAAAAGGCTGATAAAAGATACCTGAACTTGTTTGGTCCCAGTGATTTTATGACTAAGGAATTCAATTATAGGTGTGTTGGGAGTAGCAAATCACAATTCTGTAAATTACTAATGAGACAGAAAGATCTTTATCATGTTCTGTATGTGTTCACATGCAAAGTTCAGTCCTGCCCTCTGTAAATAAACTCTTAGCACCTAGACTGTGCTCCTTTGCAGAAACTCAATGTCACAACAGTAGGAACAGAGATATAACTTGGGCTGAATCATTTTTCAAACATGCCGGCAGGTATACATTACTCTACTCTTAGAGATGAGGTTAGCCAACAGATGGCTTTTCCTTTCTGTGGGCTAGTGATTTTCAACTTTGGATTTAATTAATTTAATATTATTAGCATTTTCTATACACTGCAAAGAGGAGACAGAACCTTCTTTGGTGATTCCTTCTTTGGGGGTGGTCCAAGACTGTGGAATGAACTCCCCCAGGAACTAAGGACCATCATAAATCTCATCACCTTCCACTCCAAGTGCAAGATGCATTTCTTTGACCTTGCCTTCTATAAGCACATAGCAACAGTTATATTTATTTAATAAATTAAAAAAAAATCCTACTAAAACAAAACACTCGATTGAACACATTTCTCCCTCTCTGGAGAGGATGAAAGAACAAACATGTGACAGATGTGTAGGCACGATGTTTAATGGACTATTGGGAGGCGCTCAGATAAGTGTGGTATAAAAACCTATATAAAATAGAACTAACAAGTTGAATTCAGGATACATATGACATCAGTGTACCATGGAGATGCATTAAGTGAATCACACAAGGCTGGATTTATTTAGCCTGTGTTGCATATTCTATTAGAGAGTTTTAACCCACTAATTTACATAATGAGTCTTTATTTACCCAAGGAAGGCAGATTGGCCTCAGGTCGATTGCAAATTAACTCCTAGGGCCTGCAATCCAAATTGTTTTAAGAGCTGCCTGCTACTTGATTCTTACAGCAGTAAATTATTATCTTTTGTCAGTCATTTAAAGGGGAAGGGCAATTTCTGGAAAAGCAAATATAATTAGCTGAGACCCACAGTCCAACTGCACAGTAGTTGCAGGAAAGCTTTAAGGGACCAAGCCCTGCTTGCCCTAATCACGCAAGTAATCAGTGGGACAACTCACATGACTAAAGAGAGAAGGATTTCACTCAAATATGCAGTTTTGTGTAAATTCACATATTCTTCTAATTATAACTTTCCCAATGATTCATAGGCTGCAGAGTGGAGGGACCACGCATGCCATGGCCTGACCACTTTTTGGCTATAATGGTGGGGCAGCTGGGCCAAATATGAGTGAGCGATGTTGTGACCTGCTGCAGCAACACTGAGGCACCACAACCCTGTATGCAGGTTACAGCACTACTCACTCAAATTTGGGGTGGGTGCAGGGGCTCATGGGTCAGCAACGTCAGGCTGCTGGTAGTGGAGTGGGGGGATCTGAGGGGAAGAGAGTCAGGTGGGGTGGAAGGCACAGATCTACACACGCACACACACACACATACTTTAAAAGGCCCTCTGCAGCACCATCAATTAGAGAGTCTCAGACCTTTGAGACAAACTGGGTTTCTCTAAACTTCTTTGAGGTGGGACTAGAGTTCTTCCATTCTTCTGTTAATTACAGTGTTGCCACAATTTTCAGATATCATAGAGATGAGTATATATAATAAATACCTAGCGAGATAGGTGGTGATTCATAGCCAGTGTATTAATTTAACAATCTTATTCCAGGATATTAAATGCTTAAGTTAACCATTTACTATATTTCACCATTTGGTACATTATGCTATTTACTTAGTAGTGTATTTATGGTTGGGGAGAACAGTTATGTGCCCTGAATGCCCAAAAGGCAAAATATTTAATCTTTTTTTTATCTATTCTTTTATTGACCTGCTGATTTTATTTTCAGCAAGCAAGTTACTCTATCCTGAAAAACAATTTGAATGATCAAGAGCTGCTAGATTTTACAATCTTGATTTGCAAAAACCATAGGTTACAAGTACAGACATTTCTGATATAAGCAGCACTGTTTAAACTTAAATTTATTTCATATTTATTTCTCCACCTACATGGGTTCTACCGAAAAGTTTAAAATCAACAGTGATTAAAATAAAGTTGGGCCCAGTGGTTCAGGGAGAGCAAATACACTATCATAAAATAAGCAAAGAAAAATAATCCTGTTTGTACAGTGCCTAACACGAAGACTCAAGACACAGTGAAAATTAGAATAATACAAACTGGCCAAAGATGAACTGCTTCAAATAAAAATGCCCTACACAAAACATTGGAGACAGCTAGGAAGTGCAGACATAGTGTCTGATCCAATTTCCAATGAAGTCTTTGCAAAGAGCCACTCCATTGGCTTTAAATTGGAGGTAGGTTGTACCTACAGTTAGGGAGGGTTTTTATATGAATCATTGAACTGAAAGTCCCTAGCATGATTTACATAAAACCACAGTATGCAAAGTAAGGACACCCTAGCAGACTTCATAAACCTTTGAGAGAGATAAAATGAGAGATGGTCACCTCAGTACAATTGGCCTAGATTATTAAAAAATTCATCCCCCATTCACTGGCCACTGTTGGAAGACAGGATACTGGGCTAGATGGACCTTTGGTCTGACCCCAAATGGCCGTTCTTATGTTCACAAGATCTTGAATTGAATTCATTTGCTGATCAGCAATCAGTGCAGATCAGTAGAACTGGATGTTCCTTGTTCGCAAAACAAAAGAGGCGTTGGGAAGCTGAATTTTCTAATTCCTGAAGCTTTCAGATTAGTTTCACAGTTAGGACTGAATTACGGTAATCCGTTAGCATGGAAGTACTGAGAGCATAAATATGGTCTGAGTGGCAAAGTCCATGTTACAGAGAAAAAGAGAGTGGTATTGGAGAACATGGAGATGATAATAGCCACTCCAGACTAGCGTCATAAAATGGGTTTTCAGACAGAACAATGAATACCAAAAGTGTCTGACAACCAACAGCCTCAGCCCTCTGAATAGTAGGAGCCCAGAAACCTAGAAAGTTCCTCAAAACTTAATGTCAGGCAATTTAGGTACTGCAGTAACAAAAAAAAAAAAAAAAAAAAGTGTATGTGGGGGTGGGAGGGGCATTTAAAAGATTCAAGGAAATACCCTTGTCATGTTTTTGGGAAAAGGGGGTTAGTTAACATACCGCATGACTTTCCTCTTGACCTCCAAGAATGCTTTGGATATCTCTCAAGACCACAATGTTGTCTGTTCTGTACAAATATATGAAAGTCCTCTTTCTGTAAGTTGCCATTGCTGTTTTCCTTATCTGTGAAGGAAGCACAGCAACTCCCACTGGGGACATTTCACGGTAACTTGATCTTAAAATAAGTAATATAAGGGAAAGGTCATATCCTAATAAGTTGTGCATACCTAAATTCCCATGGAGTGTCAAAATTATGCTGAATGACTAGGGCACTAACCATTTTCCAACAATGTGTTATTGAACAGTTTCCAGTGAGTGTCTTTAGCATGCCAGAACAATAAGTGAAATGAAGATATGATTGATTAGCAGGACACAGCATCCAAGTCTGCCCTTAGATTTATCTGGGCATCTCCCATTGATGATTCTGGGTTTTTATCTTTAGAGTTTCTGTCTTCCTCTTCCCTCATCTCCAATGAAGATAACTGCCAGAAGCCCCTTTAGCTTTCTTCGAGTCTTGGTGTAAGGCTGTTGAAGTCAATGGGAGATGTGTCTCTTTATCTGACAGAAGAAAATGAGAAAGGCATTCTACAAGGCATTCTAGCATAAGTAATGGAATCAGCAGCAACTTTTCTTACTTTAATTGAGAGGATGACTCTTGTAAGGAAGATATTTATCATGTAACCCAAACTGGAAATACCAGCCTAATCCTTCCAGTCAAATAGTTTCAATCGTACTGTAAGAGGATCCTGCTTATATCAAGGTGCTCTTCTTTTGAGATGCATTTTCTTTTTCTCTACAGGCAGAGGTCCACAGTGAGGGCAGGGCTGATCACCTCCTCGTATGTATCAAACTCTCTGCATGTGCTTCTGATTTAAGCATCTACCATGTATATTTCTGCTTTGCTTTATGAGGTGTATTAGTGTACTGGTTCCTCAAGTTTTGGCACTCATACATAACTAGTTGAAGTTGTTATAGAGAGGGTTGTTTATTTGTTTTGTTTTTAGGTGTGTACCACCAATGTGAATTTTAAGACTTGCATGATTCCTAGAGAGACTTTGTTTGCAATCGTGTGTAAAACCTCCCTTTGTGGTGCATTGTTTCTGTGTTATCACAGATCTGAGAATAAGTACCAAACTAACTGTATCTTTCGTAATCACCTTCTTTAGTGACTTCAGCTGATTTAAATGGCAATATTTTCTTTTCAATTCTGTCATTGTTTATGATATATTTTCTCTTCCTTTAATTCCAGCACAACGAGTTTAATGTTCCATTCCCCTCACTCAATTCAGGTTAATTGGAAAAATTCAAGATATGTGAGGTGAACTATGTCTCTTAGGTGTAAGTTATTCCCTGAAAGATATCTGAAGATGTGGAACTCAGTTCTCTAAATGCCATGCACCACAGTTGGTGTAGTTGGTATCAATACATGTGTAGACTTTTCGCACATCTGGTACTGCACAGGAATGTTTTTGTCAAAGTGGTTAACCATTGATTGGCTCACAACAGAGATTCAGTGGAGGAGGCCCATGATATGCCTGGCTGTGCTGGCCATCAGGGTTTAAATATGGTATGTCCTGGTATTGACCAAAAGGTACACAAGTCTCCTAAGCAATAAAAAACACTGGGTGAAATCTCAGCCCCATTGAAGTCAATAGGGATTTTGCCATTGACTTAAGTTGAGCCAGGCTATCACAGCAAGTGTATTATTGTCTTGTCTGAATAAGTGAACATATGATATATAGCTATGTAATGTAGTATATAATTCTGAACTATGAGACAGACCCTATGCCAGTTTACACCAGCGGAAGACAATCCCATAGTTCAGATGTTCTCCGAATATGGGGAAAAGTATCATCTGTACTGAACAATTTTACATGTTATTGCATGCACACACTCTGCAAGCTCATCTAATACAATGGAGGGGTGCCTGGATGAAGAGGGCAAGTGGATACATGAGAAGTGTCTTTTTGTGAACCTGGGGAAGGCAGGAGTCTCTGTTTGGTGGATAGGGGTTGTAAAATTAGGATTAGGCCCCTTTCCATGTTCCCATTTTTAGGGGAAATATTCAGAAGTAGTAAGTGAAGTTAAGCATGAGAGATGGACCAAAACCGGGCCCTAAATTACAAACCTATTCCAGTTTGGATGGTGTGACAATATACGCAGGATACTCAGAACTGTGAGCCTGACTGTGCACTCTGCACTGGTCACTTCCCTGACCCTCTGATCATTTCATACAATTTAAAGCAAATACAAGCTGTTTAATTAACAATTAATTTAAAAAAAGAATAAGGAAAAATGGGAAAGATTAAAGAAAAACACATCACCCTGCTCTGTGGCAGGGAACATTACAAACAGTGTCTCTGGATGTTAGGGCACTTCACAGTCT